TGTCCTCAAGAAACACAAAGACCTCAAAGAGATCATCGACACCATCCGTGCCGGCCTCGCAAAGTCCGCGTCGCCCAGCGAAGCAGAACGCGCCCTGTCCGCGTACTACGAAGCATTAGAAGCAATGGTCAACGACGGCTGGATCATCGGACGAAAGATCAAATCAAGACCAATGCTGAACCTATACCCTGAAGCTCGGCAGATCCGATCATCAGAAGAAGGGCGCAAGGCGACCGAGAGTGCGGAGGTCAGCTCAAAGTTCTTCGTATTTGAAGAGTGATCACTTCGTCGCTGGTTGCTGCTCTTGTTTCGCGGCCATCTGTGCTTCCAGTTGAGATCGACGAGCGATCTTGATCGCGTACACACCGATATAGAATGAAACAAGCAGAACAAGTGCGTAGATGAATCGTGCTTGGAACTGACTTAGCAGCACGCCGAGTACACAGAACACGATTCCGATGCCGTAGAGAGCAAGCACGGCGCCCTTCACTCCGAGCGATCGCTTGAGCATGTGGTGTAAGTGATCAGCATCGGGATCAGACATTTTCTTCCCAGCGAGCTTTCTGCGGATAATCGCGAGCATTGTGTCGATGATCGGGATTGAGTAAATGATGACGCCCGCGAACACCAAGCTGGTCTGCCCTGTATCGCCGAGCGACAGGATCATCAGCGCTGAGCAGTACCCCAGCAGCAACGATCCTGTATCACCTAAGAAGATCACTGCGGGATTGAAGTTGTGGGGGAGGAACCCCATACAGGCGCCGAGAATAGCGAGTCCGATGATGATTCGAGGTGCATCGAGTGGACCATTGTCCGCGAGCGCCATCCCGGCCGCGATGAACAAGAACCCGATCATCGCGATGGAAGTCACACCAGTGAGCAGACCATCCAAGCCGTCAATAAAGTTCGATGCATTGGTTGCGCCAAGCACGAACACAGCGATCACGACAGTGCCTGCCCAGTAAATAAAGTCGAACTCAACACTTGTCCCGAATCCTGGGACTTCCATAGGGAGTGGTATGTCGTATGCCAATCGAGGATTGTCGAGCAACCTCCCAAGTGTCGGACGCAGAACACCCTCGGCGACATTGACACCCACATCGCCAATTGCCAGAGCGGCGCCCGCCATGAGCTGACCGCCAAGTTTGACACGCGCTGGAATACCGCTGATGTCGTCAATGAGCCCGACGACGACAATGATCGTCATCCCCAGTGCAATCCAAGGCGGCACCTGTGGGATAAACACTCCATCGATCAGGTTCTCTGAGCCAATCTCGTGATAATCGATTAATCCAGGCATGGAATCCGCGAAATAGGAATAGACAATCCCCGCCATGATCCCAACGTACACCGCGACTCCACCCAGATACGCGATAGGGAGTTTGTGTTGTTTGCGTGCTTCATTCGGATGGTCCACGATCCCGTTGCTGATCGCAAGCCGGCGCACGATCGGTGTACAGAGCACGGTCACCAAAAATGCGATCACAAAAACACCGATATATCCCTGGAGCACACCCAATGGCGTGTCCGCCATCAACTGAGCAGGCATTTCAGCGACCACTTCTTCGACTGGAAGCGTTGGCAGGAAGTCCGGAGGAAGCATCAAACACCCTCCCCACGCATGGAGTCTGCGTTTGACTTCGCGCTGCGGATCACCGCCGCCATGTCCGCGATGGTGTCCTCAAGCGTGAACGCGTACTCAAAATCCACAATCGAGCGCAATCTGGTCAGATCGGGTCGGCGATGTCTGAGATCCTCAAATCCAGAGGTGTACGCGTCCGCATAATCCACCATTTCGATCTGAGAGTTCGATCCCAGTACATCGATGACCTTCTGTGCGAGTTCAAGAATCGTCATCGAGCGATCCGAACCAATGTTCATCACGCGCCCAAACGCATCACTGTTCTCAAGCAGTTGAGGCAGCACACGCACAACATCACGCACATCACAGAAGCATCGCGATTGCTGACCATCTCCGAACACCCGGAGCGGCGTATTCCCAAGCGCCGCTTCCACGAATCGAGGGAGAACCATGCCATAGTTCCCGACCTGTCGAGGACCAACTGTGTTAAAGAACCGAGCGACCACCACAGGGAGATTGTGCTGCGAGTGATACGCCATCGCGAGGTACTCATCGATCGCTTTGGTATGCGCATACGACCAACGCGTGATCGAGGTCGGACCATAAATCGAGTCATCCTCCTCGGAGAATACACTCACGCCAGGCTTGCCGTAGACCTCCGAAGACGAAGCAACAAAGGTGGGGGGCGCTCCGTGTGCCATCGCGTATTCAAGCAAACGATCCGTCTGCATGATGTTCGTGCGGATCGAACCGATTGGATCCTTAAGTACGAGATCGACCCCTACCGCCGCAGCGAGGTGGTAGATCCGATCGAATCCCATGCCTTCGGCATCAAGCGTTGTTAATCCATCGCTCAGATCACAGTTCTCAAATCGAATGCGATCGGACTTCGCGGGATCATGAATGTGATGATCAAGATTCGTGCTCCGTCCGGTCGAGCAGTTATCGATGATCACCACCGAATCACCCTGCGCGATATGGTGATCTACCAGGTGCGAACCAATAAACCCCGCGCCGCCGGTGATCAGCACCTGTTTCGGAGTGGGGAATGGTTCTGGAGATGTGGGAGCCAATGGAAGTCCTTCCGATCGCAGCGACGGCGAGTCACGATCTTACGCCGCTGTATCTTTGGGAGCCTTCTTCGAGGATTTCTTCGCCTTCTCCTCGATCTGACGATAGTTGAACGAGGTGCGGATATTCTTGCGCATGTACCCGCCGGCAGCACTCCGGACCGCGTTGACCACGATCCCGATGAACTCGCCGTTTGCTTCACCCAGTTCTCTCGCCATACGAGCGACCTGGCCGCGCTTCTCGCTCATCGCACGAACGACCAGCATCGAAGCATCAGTGATATTCGCGAGAATACCCGCATCACCCGCGACGATCGATGGAGCAACATCGATCAGCACGATGTCATACTTGGAGCGAAGATCACTCAAGAGTTCCTTCATCGCTCGGCTGCTCAGACGCTCCACCTGACGGTTCTGCTTCGATCCGATCCGGAGCACATCAGGCCCGTTATCGATCTGAACCAAGCATTCATCGAAGGAAGTCTCCCCCGCGAGCACATCGCCGAGCCCTTGCCCATCTCCGATCCCAAGATCGGTATGAATGCTCGGACGGCGGAAGTTCGCGTCGATGACGAGTGTATTGAGTCCTGACGCGACACACGATTGAGCAAGATTCGTCACAACAGTGGTCGAACCAGACTTAGGCATCGCGCTGACTACCAAGAGTGTCCGATGCTCGCCTTTGCCCATGCTCGCGATGACATTGGTGCGGAGTTGGCGGTAGTACTCCGCAAACACCGAACCTGGGGAGTCGGCAAACGCCGTGGAGACATTGTCCGGCGAGGTCGGGTCTTCCGAAGCATCCATCAGAATACCAAGCGAGCGTGCGCGAGGGATCATCCGAATATCTGCTGCGCTCTTGATCCGCTGATCAAGCAGCTCAAATGCGAGGATTCCGCCAACAGTCAGTCCCACAATCAGGAACATTCCCGCTGGAACCATGACATAGAAGACAGGGAATGTCGGGAGATCCGGAACAGTCGCGGATTCAACAACATTCACACGCTGAGCACTTGAGAGGTTCGATGCCGCTTCAAGATCCGAGAGCGCGGTTTCATCGTTGCCGAGCTGAATAATTTTGCCCTCGATCTGACGATCGATATCCGCAATTTCTTGGGTAATACGAGTAAGCTCAGTGAGTTTCTCAGCGAGCTCCTCTTTCTGGGTGATCAGCTCGGACTCTTGAGCACGAAGCTGCTGGATCGTGGTCGCAGTCCCTTGAACACGCGCCTCGAATGCTTCACGCAGCAGTTCTTCGCGTGTGTCTTCGATCTTTCTCTTGTGTGCCGCGATCTGCGACTCCACTTGCTTGTACTGACGATGGTCAGGCTTGATCCCATTGCTTTGCAACGCGACCAGTGCTGTTTCAAGACGCTTGAGTTCCTGCTTGAATGTCTGCATCATCGGAGACATGTTGACAGTCTCGCGGAGCTGCGAGTCGTACTCGATCCCTGTATCGCGTTGGAGCTGTGCTTCATCGTTAGCTTTGATGACAGAGAGTGCTTCGAGCGATTGCTGGATCCCGACAAGCTCAGCATTGATCAGACGCAGTCGCTCAGAAGCGGTCGATTTCGCAGAGTCAATCGAGTCGATCTGCTCTTCACGCACGAGTCTTGTCTTACGAGCAGTGAGGTCCGCGATCGCGTCATTCGTCGCTTCGATCGAGTCACGGATCGCTTGGCGACGGGAAACCACATCACGCTGGTACTGTGAGTTGAGCTCATTCAGGTACGCATCCTGGACCATGGTCACCAGACCAGCGGCATCCTGCTTGTCACCAGTTGTCACAGAGAGACGGATAAGGAAGGTCTTCGGGACAGCGCTGGCGCTGACCATTTTCTCAAAGTCTTTAAATGCGCGGACGACATCAATGTTGCCGCGGCGCATGTAGTTGCTGCTCCAAGTCGGTGCAAGGTCAGGGAGCCGAGGATCGGAGATCACCTTGTTCAGAATCAACTGAGATTTCATGGTCGCGACCTGCGTTCCCATGAAGCGTTCCATTTCAGTCTCGTCCACTGTAGAAACACTGATGACTTCAACCGCTTCTTCAGCAGGCGCACATTCCCATGTGATATGCGCTGTGAACTTGGGCGCGAATCGTGCGAGCAAGATATGAGATCCATACCCCACGACAATCCCAACAAACACCGAGATCGCAAGCACGAACTTGTACTTGTGAAGGAGTTTCATTGGATCGATCGCGATCGCCCCGCCGCCGCCGGCTTGCTGAGGTGGTCCCGACATCCCGGGCTTGCGTTGTGGTGCGCTCATGAGAAAGCTCCGTATCCTGTAGCTTCGATCCGCAGACCGATGAATTGACTCGTACTACGGCCCTATCGGCCTTTTTGTTATCCGGCTGAGTCGATCTTTGCTTCAATCGCCTCAACATCCTGTTCCAGTCCTACATCACGCGTTGGCATAGCACGCATCAATGCTTGAATATCAGTGAGTTTCGAGCGTGCCTCGCTAACTCGCCCTTGGGCGAGATCGATGTTGATCTGCGCAATCACCAGCGTCACGCGAGAACGGACCGATAACGCATATTTCATACCATTCGCCAAGACCTCACTCGCCTTGTCATACTCACCGAGAGCGGTGTAGATATTCCCCAGTGTGTCATACGGCTCGGATCGATTCGGGTTCATCTCAATCGCGCTCAGAGCAAGCTCGAGTGCACGCTCATGCTCACCAAGCTCTGCAGAGAGCACATATGCGAGGTTGTTGCTCATTTCCCAATCCCCTGGGAACAGCTCCACGCCTTTGCCCCACATCTCAGCGGCACGATCAAACTGGCCTTGAGTGAACATCGTGGTTCCATAGCTCTGCAGTGTCAATCTCTGCAACACCGGCTGTGATCGAGCTTGAGACAACTTGTCATAGATACGGAATGCGATATCAGTCTGCTGACCAACGCTGACAAGCCGCTGTGCGATGAACAGATCGATCCAGTTGAGCACTTCTGGGTTTGTATTCCGTTGTTTGAGCGTCTGCAGATATTCAATCTGCTCATTCATCGGCTGACCCTCGAAGAAGCGAGAGATGTTGCCAGACCACTGGATCAACAACTGGTCATCGTTGCTCGAAAGGTCAAACGCCTTGGTCAACTGCTGAAGCGCGAGTTGGTCTCGCCCGCGTGCTTGCAGAATAAGCGCCTGTGCAGCGAGCAACCCCGGACTGGAATCAATCTCACCCGCGATATCAGTCAGATCCTGAATGATCGAGTTAGCGAGATTCGTGTCAGGGTTTCTTGTACGCACCAATGAGTCAATCAGCGTCGCGCCCGCATTCGGGGTCCGCTGGGTGTTCCACACGATTTTGTAGAACTGCGTCGCATGCTCCCAGTCCCCTCGCGAGGCAAACAGCTGACCAAGAGAGTTCAGCAGGGAAGCATCCTTCATCCGAGATTGCACAATCTCGAGAGCGAAGTCATACGCTTCAGAGTTCCGGTTATCGATCATCATCTCATTGATGATGCCGTAGAGAGCTTGATCCAAGCTCGGATTCAATCGCACAGCACGCTGAAGATCTCTCAGTGCATCCTTGCGTTGGTCAACAGCGAAGTACCCAGCAGCACGGACTCGATATGCACGCCAGTCATTCCGATTGATCTGCAACGCCGCATCAACATCCGCGAGCAGGTCAGTCAAGCGTTCTTCGTTTCCTGCGTGATACTCCGCGCGCTTGATGTAAACGAGAGGATCATCCGAGAATGTTGCGACGGCTTGATCAAGCAGTCTCAACGCCTCGGCGCTATTCCCAAGGCCTTCCTCAATTTCAGAGTTCTGTAGCATCGCGATCTTGGTCGTTTGATTTTCCTTTACAAGCAGATCGAAGTGCTTTCTGGCAGACTCAAACTGACGAGTCCTGATCAGCATGTCAATCAAACGAAGTCGGTAGTTGTCCTCGATATCCGCTCCGCCTTCGACCACCTTCTCAAACTCGGTCGCCGCATTCGCATACTGATTGAGCATCAGGAACAAATCACCCAACAGCTTCGTTCCGTCGAGTGTTTCGGGATCTTGACGCTCTACCGCGTTTGACGCCGCTTGGATTGCGAGTTCTGGACGACCACGATCAAGCATGAATCGCGCGAGCGAAATGTATGGAGCGGCATCGATCTCATCCTGGTTCTTCTCGATGTAATCCGTGAATACCTGCTGAGCCGCCGAAAGTCCGTTTACATTGCCCACACGTCCCTGATCCGCATACCAGCGAGCTTTGAGTTCTGCGACTCTGAGCGAGTCTTCTTCCGCAGAAATCTGATCAATCAGTTGCTGAGCTTCATCCCAACGACGAGTCTCGATGTACAAGCTCGCTAGAGCAAAGTTGTTCGGGATGTTGTTCGGATCGAGTTCAAGGAACTTCTCTCTTTGACGGATCGCGAACTCTTGACCCTCAGGCCCACCGTATGCCGCTTCAAGCGTGAGCCAAATGGTGAGGAACTCAGGATTGTCGATCGCGTACTTCTGGAATCGTCTTGCAATATCCAATGACGCGTTGTAGCGACGGAACAAGTTGAGTGTATTGATGTACTCCATGATGCTGGACTGGTCATCTGGTCGGATAGAAAGCGCACGCTCAAAGGACTCAATCGCCGCCTCTTCTCGCCCGAGTCCCCTCTGCTCAATCCCGAGCATACGGAACACATTGGCGCCAGCGACCCCGCTTTCACCTGCTTGCTGGAGAAGCTGCACGGCACGCTCGTTGTTGCCTTGGTAAGAAGCCAGTCGCGCTTGGTATGTCAAACCCCCGACACGGTCGGTGTTGTTCTTCGTAGCCAACTCAGCGAACTCTTTCGCGCGATCTTCTTGGTCAAGACCGATTGCACGCACGAAGGCAAGATCAATAACGCGGCTGTCATCTGGTGCGACCTCTAACAATCTCGCAATCGTGTCATCGAGGACATCAAACTTGCCGCGAGTGAACGCAACGCCAGCGATCGAGATCAGCTTATCGAGTTCCTCACGATCGGAAAGTTCGATCATGCGGATCAGGATCTCAGACTCGTCATTCCCCTGTGCCGCAGTTTGCATGTCGCTCAGTGTTCTGTCATCTGGATTGGCTGCTACTGCGCGATCAAGCAATGCTCGCGAGCCATTGATATCCCCCTGATCAAGCATCATTGAAACAAGATCGCGGACGACATCCGGGGCATAGTTCACACTTTCCAGCCCGTCTCTGAGGATGTTGATCGCCTCCGAAATATCACCCGGCTGTCCGTCTTTGCCACGACGAACCTGCCGTGCTCTGATAATCAGAGCCGCGACCGGATCATCAATCAGATCAGGATTGTCAAATGCCTCGATCTTTGCGATTCCATTGAGTGCTGTTTGGTTTGCTGGATCGCTCACAAGCGCTTTCTGGAACAACTCTTTCGCCTTCCGATTGTCCTGGAGCTGCATGTATGTATCAGCCAGGACGAGGAGTGCGCGTACATCATGAGATTTCTTCGCGATCAACCGTTCCAACGCATCGCGAGTTGTCCCGAGTTGACGCAGCTCACGTGCCGCGAGAGCTTCAAACCACAAACCATCAGTGTTCGAGTTATCAGTCTGCTGGTTGTACATGCTGAGCAAGCGAAGCGAATCTTCAAACTTGCCATTCACATACTCAAGCCGTCCGTCAATGAGCATCAAGTTCGTGTTGTCTTCCGTAACACGCGAAGCATACTGGTCGCGTGCAGCGATCGCTTCATCCAGCTCGCTTTGCATCACTGCCGGATCAGTATCGGGTTCGTTCTGCATACGAGCGTATGAATCTAGCTTGATCGAAGCAGTCGTCAGCATTGCCTCACGCTTGGAGTTGAACAGCATGATCCCGTCGATACCAATTGGCTGGGGTGGGAGATCGATAATATTTTTGTAGAGCACAACTGCTTCGTCAATATCACCACGGATAGCGCTCAGACCAGCCGCAGAAACCATTGCCTCGATTGATTCTGGATCAGCAGCGAGTACCTTCTTCACCAGCTCATTGCTCCTTGAAAGTCTGCTCGATGGATCGATCCGAATTTCGACCTCAACGAAACGATTCAGCATGATCATGCTCAGGTTCTCAGGCTCCAAGCTCATCAGCCATGATTGGAGTTCATCCAACTCTGATTGGAGTGCAGTCCATGAACTCAGAATCGCTTGTGTCCGAGCTGAATCACTCTCATTATCTCCGTAATACGCATCTGATCCTGAACTCTCGACCTTGATCCCCATCAGGGTGACAGCGACCAACGGCGAGTTCGGATACTCAGTCATGTGTGCTTCACCCATCGCGACAGCTTGTGCACGAGCTTCAACCACAGGAGTGATGTCTTCTTCCTCGACTTGTTGTACTGCTTCAATTATCAGCCATCGCATCAGCGCGGTTCGGGTGAGCTCATCTTCTGGATTGGCTTCGAGTGCAGCGGTGAGATCATCACGGATCAGATCATACTGCTCAGGCTCAATCACACCGCCGCGTTCCGCGATCCGATACCACGCGAGTCCGCGGTAACGACGCAAAGTTGGCCATGCTGGATCGACTCCACTAAGCCCATCAAAGTTCCCAAGGACTTGAGTTGTGCGGGAGATGATGTTGTCCGCCATAGAACGCGAATACTCCCGGCGAAGCAGTTCGAACTGCAGCCCAATCTCGCGGTGGTACGCATCAACATTCGTGCGTTGTACGATCGCCGCCTGATGGATCGCGCCCAAGTAGTCTCGTCGGAATGCGTCGTAGAACGCGGGCTCGGTTTCCGGAATCCACATCTCGATTGTTTCGATCCACTTCTCAAGGTTCTCAACAATCGTTGGGTCTTTACTCACTGCTCGTGAGTACATCTCGCGTGCGGTTTCATGGTCACCCGCCGCCATCGCCTCGTCGCCCTTTCTCGCAAGGTCTTCAGGGGTCTTCGTAACGACGGTATATGCCGCGAATAGCATCCCAAGGATCGCAACAACCGCAACGATCAGAATGACGACGAACTTTGTATTCACACGAGAAGCCATAGTGAGTGTCCTCTTCCACTATCTAGTCAGTGGGTTCGCTATTTCATATCAGATGCCAAGCGCATCTGAAATCCTGTACTTTCAATGTCAAGCCGCGCCCGGAACATCCGAGCGCGAGCATTACAACTCATTCTCAGCCGGCGGATAGTTCCCCTGCTGCACTTCAATCCAATCGGGAGTGCAACGCATGAGCTCTCCCAGCACATCCCCAACGATCGAGCTCGCGTACTCGACAAACTCATCCATCGAATCTGCAGTCACACAGTTCACTTGTATTTTCAGGTAGTACGCATAATCATCAGAAAGGTTAAACGCGAGGGTGCGGACCTCGTTCGCATTGGCGCGAGTCCCGCCGTTGGCAATAAAGAAATACCCTGCGTAAATCTTCTGTCCTTCTCCAAGCAAGAACTCCGAGCACCGCATCTCGATCGGGTTCTCGGGAGTCACATCCCGAGGCAGCCGCACACGCTGACCAGGAGCATCCGTCCAATTGCGATTGTTACTCAATCGGACAGTGTAAAGCTGACCCGCAACGCCGGCGAGCTCTTCGGGAACCGACGGGTCCGCGATCCAAGAACTCGTATCAATATCCAAAGGCATATTCCGCGATGACTCGCTTTGCTGAAGTCCTCCCCCAACAAAGCATCGCTCTGGGACATGGGGAACCGTATCAATCATCCCGGTGTAGTACGCCGCGTGGAGTTCGACAACAACCTTCTTCTTGGTATCCTGAGATTCTTTCAGGATGTACTCGCGCGATAAGTAGTTCTCTGTCCCGAGCGTCTCGACAATCTCACTCGATGAAATCCGATCCGACCCGATCCGCACCCAGTTGTCCGTCTCAGTCGGGATCGCAGAAACCTGACGATTCCCCTCAGGATAAATCGGGATCTTCTGCATGTGCAGATCCGCGAACTTGATGTACACACCAATCCCGATGGAAGAACCCAGCATGATCGCTCCCGCGATCATCGGTGCCAGAATGCTCCCTTTGCGATTCTGAGTCTTTTGAGTCATGCCTTCACCCCCGCGTTCTCTTCCTGTCCACTCCCGATGATCCGATTCAGTGTCCACACAACCCCCATGAACAATCCGAGCGAAGGCACAAGCAGGATCGTCCCAATCAATGTGTGTGCATCGCCCGAAGCGAGATTCGGATCAACAAGCGTGAGTATCCCCAGCACTGTGACGCGGACCATATTCATCAGGATCGCGACCGGACCCGCGAGCAGGATCAACGCGATCCGCTGCCACCACTGGGAGCAACCAAGCAGCGCGACCGCCCCAGCAAGAGCGTAGAACGCGACAACCATCCGCATCCCAGAGCATGCTTCAGCAACATTGAGCGGATGGATCTCGCCCGTGCTTGTGAAGATGTCCAAGCGATTGCCGTCCAGATCCACAGTGAAGTTGAAGAGCTCGCCGAGCAGGCTCAGCATCACCCATGATCCTTGTGACGCGAGAAGCTGAAGCTTGAATGTCACCTGGAGCATGATCGATTCCGCGATCGTCACCATCAGAATCAGGTACAAGATCGGAAGGAACACATGCCGAAGCATCGCGGGACCAGTGAGGAACAGAACCATCGATCCGAGCACAAGGACCATCGAGAAGCCTTGGAGCATCGGATTGCTGATAAAGAACAAGTTGTACGCGTACGCGTGGATCCCAGCCAGGAACGGGACCAGCGCCGGCCAGAACACCTGCACCGGAGTCTTTCGGATCAGATCTCGGGACTGCCAGAGCAGATATCCCGAAATGAGAGGAATCACCAGAGCATGACCCCAGTCCTCTTTGTTCTCCCAGCTGACTTTCACTTGGAACAAGAACCACTGGTTGAACAACCAGATCAGGATCAGTCCCAGAATCACGGAATACACCAGACCCCGACGCGTCATGAATCCAAAGAGCAGATCCTCCGCGCTCGCCTTCTTTGAAGCGTCTGTGGCAGCGGATTGTGCGTTCTGAGAAGTCATACAGTGGTAACAACCTGATCGGACAGAGAGGCCCGATTCTTTGGTCCAGATTGGGGGTCCGCAATGATTGGCGCACTATCCTGCGCACACTTGAAATACCTGAGAATTCATGCGCATACAACAACCACCACGAGCTATTGCTACGGCACTGAAGAACATCAGGTTCACTTCAATTCTCAGGAAACTATTTATCTCAAACGAGACGGTGGAGCACCAAACACATCATTACCAAAGTTCCGATCCAGGAGGAACCCAAAACCGTAACTGGTCCGGAATCCGGAGCGAACCACCGCGAGCGGCGTTGCCCAGAAGTTGGTACCCACATTGATCCGATCATCCGGCTTGATGTACACATCCGGCTGAGTCCCTTCCGCAATCGCGCGGAGATTCAGCATGATGGTCGCTTGCTCGTTATCCCCCACAATTCGGGTCAAATCAACCCGCTCAGGGATCGCGAGTCCGTTCAGCCCACCAGCACTCGTGATCGCACGCGTCAGCGTCAATCGACCCGCGACTGGGAGGTTGTACACGCCCGGCCCGTTGACCTGACCATCGATATACACATTGCCCGTTGGAGCCGGAGGTACATTGATGATGTCACCAGGACGCAGGATCACATTGTAACGAGCATCACCAGCAAGCAAAGGCTTCGTTGGGATACGGATCACACGCTGCGTGAACAGCTGCCCGCGAGAATCCGAAGGATGCATGCCGTCGCTCTTCTGGATTTCTTTGCGTGCGGCGACAGGGACCGCTTCGCGAACCCAGCGACCATCCACAAAGCGCCAGCGAGGGGTCAGCATCGCCGACTTCATCTTCTCGTTCATTTCGTCCGAGTTTTGGGCACTTTGGGACGAAGAGCTGTTTCTTGTCGACGATCCGCTCGGCTCGATCAGATCGATGATCGGATCATCCATCCGCTGTGCCGAAGGAGCGACCAAGCCATTTCCGTTGCCCGAAATCATGCCGGGACTGGAGAGGTCGTCGATCACATCGAGCAGGTCCTCGCCATCCTCGCCGTCCATCGGATCCGCCGCATCCGGCAATCCCTGAGGCTCAGGCTGCAATCGGCTCGCAGCATCATCCAATGGGACCTGACGAATAAGGTAGATTTCATCAATAAACTGCGGAATCCCGCCCGCGCCGACGAGCCCTTGGAGGAGTCTAAAGTCAGCACTGGGAACAACATACGGCGCCGGATTCTGGACATTTCCCATGAGGTAGAAGGTTTGTTCACGCCGTTGCTCAACAACCACCGAAACAAGGGGGTCGGCAACCAAGCTTAACATCGCTTCGGCGATCCGGTCCGCGACTTCCTTCTCCGTCAATCCAGTGACGAAAATACGCCCGAGCTGAGGGATTTCGATATATCCGTTCGGATCCACCTGACGAGGGAGCGATTCGACCTGATCAGTCGCGACCAAGTCCCAGATGCTCAGTGTCAGGATGTCACCTGAAGCAACGCGATACACAGGAGTCTGAGGGATCAGGTCTTCCGCTGTGATCTCAGAGATCTCAACAAACTCATCCTCAGGAGACTCGATCGCTGCGAGGTGTTCAAGAATCGGAACAGCCGTAGGAGTGTGCTCCCAGCGTCCGGTAATACTCGGATTCAAGTACGAATCCTGGTTCAGGCATCCTGAGAGCGGACTCAGAGCACATGTGCCAGCGAGCAGTCCAAGCGTCAGTCCGATTCGGCGATGTCCGCGCGAGCGTGAATTGATCTGAGTAGTTTGCTCAGACGAGCTCAAGCTTTCAGTACAGTGGGTCACAAGTTCACTCCTAGACATTCCAGACACACCAAATCATGGTCTCTATCAGGCTCTGCGCTCGGCAACTCAAGCCGAATCAATCATCAAAGCACTCCATGCCCTCGCACGATGCTCTAGTGTAGCACCCATCAACGAAAGCTCGCAGCACTCCCAACCCGCTCCATCGACCAGCAACACCCACTCAGTTGATTCAGACCCCGAAAAACGAATGGTTTTCGGTCTTTGTGCCGTCCTTGCGCGTCGCCGATTCAAACTGAACCGAACAGTGCTCGATTCTGGGATACGCCCGAAAGATCTGCTCCGTTCTCCAATCCCTCAATTCTCCGACATAAACTTCCACAATGCCGACCGATCCTTCAAAAACCCACGAGTCGCCCGCGACCCAAAAACCCTCCAATGCCGGGCATTCTCGCACGCTTGCCCGTCACCCTCGCCCCCTCGGAGGCGACCCCATCCGCACCCTCCGTCCGACTGTGTCGCTGAGCTCCATGATCCTCAACAACGAGGACGACGCCGTCCATCACCTGAGCGTCAAAAAGAAACCGAGCTGGCTCAAAGCCAAACTCCCAGGCGGCGAGAACTTCCGCGCCACCAAAGCGAACATCGACTCGCACAAACTCCACACTGTGTGCGAAGAAGCCGCGTGTCCCAACATGGGAGAGTGCTGGGCGCGCGGGATCGCGACCATCATGATCCTCGGAGACACCTGCACACGCGCCTGTGGATTCTGCAATGTCAAGACAGGCAAACCACTCCCGATCGACAAAGACGAACCCCGCCGAGTCGCAGAGTCCCTGAGAGGCGCCGGACTCAAGCACATCGTCATCACCTCCGTCGATCGCGACGATGTCCCCGATGGCGGAGCCGGGATCTGGGCCGAGACGATCATGCGCACGCGCGAAGCCTGCCCCGACATGTCCATCGAGGTCCTCATCGGAGACTTCAAAGGCGACGAAGCCGCGCTGCAAATGGTCATCGACGCGCAGCCCAACATCATCGCGCACAACCTCGAAACCGTCCGCCGCTGTCACCCCGCCGTGCGCCCAAGCGCGCGATACGAACGCACGATGGAACTGCTCAAGCGCGTCAAAGCACAAGGCGCCGTCGCCAAAACCGGCATCATGGTCGGGATCGGTGAACGCAAAGAAGAAGTCTTCGAGCTCTTCGACGACCTCGTCGCGATGACCGCGGACCACTCCGGACCACGCGACAAGGACGACCAATCGCGAGGCGACGCGTGCGACATCATCACGATCGGTCAGTACCTCCAGCCGACCCGCAACCACCTCCCGATCGACCGCTGGGTCCACCCCGACGAGTTCGCTGAGTACAAAGCCGTCGGCGAATCCAAAGGCATCAAGCTCGTCGTCTCGGGACCACTCGTCCGCTCGAGCTACCTCGCCGACGAACAGGCGGATATGTTCGGACTCTTCGATGACAAGTAAAAGACTCACAACCACTGTGTTTCAAGGGTCAAAGTAAGGATTCGCATCCGATGAATCCCGCGATCGTCCAAGACCTTCTCCAGCAGATCGAGCGCAAGGATCTCTCCACCGCCGCCCACACCTGGCGCGTTGTGCTCTACACCCGCGCCATGCTCGAAGAGTTCGGACACGATCAGGACATGATCGCCCTCGTCACCCAAGCCGCGGCTCTCCATGACATCGGGAAGCTCGACCTCCCAGACGAGATCCTCCAGAAACCAGGCAAGCTCACCGACGAAGAGTTCGAGATCATCAAGTACCACCCCGTCACGGGTTACGCGCGCATGATCGACCTCGACGTCACCGAAGAACCCATCCTCAACCTCGTCCGCTACCACCACGAACGATGGGACGGCCTCGGATACCCCTTCGGACTCAAAGAAGAAGACATCCCCATCGGAGCACGCATGTTCGCCGTGATCGATTCGTTCGACGCGATGACCTCCGTGCGTCCCTACCGAAACAAACTCGGAGACAAAGCCGCCGAGAGCGCCCTGGTCGAACTCCAAGCCGGGATGGGCACGCGGTACTGGCCCGAAGCCGTGGAAGCGTTCACGAAGCTGTTCCGCTCCGGATCACTCGATTACATCCTGCACTACTGCAACGACGAGGTCACACTCCCCGCCTTCGAGCACGCGCGCGAGGAACAGTTCGAAGCGATCCGCAAGCGATTCTCTTCAGTCGATCCCAAACAGTAGTTCATCAAGCCAGTAGTTAAACCAAGCCGCACATCTTGCGGAGCAGCTTATCAAGCTTCGGAGGCACCGGCATCGCGCTGAGCCGCGACAGCTTCACCAGATCAAAGTCATCAAAGCGACCATCATCCTTGATGTCCTTGAGTGTCAACACCTTGGTCGCTGCCTTCACCGGAGTCAGATCAAACAAAGGCCCCTTGAGCTCGCCCTTCTTCGTCAATCCCGGATTCTCCGGATCTTCATAGACATCCGTCACGATGATCGCGAGCCCCGCGATGCGTTTCTCTTTGCCCGTGTGGTAGATAAACGCCTCGTCGCCTTTCTTCGCGGTGCGCATGTGCATCAGCGCCGTGGGGTTCTTCACCCCGTCCCAGTGCGTGCGTTTGTCCTTGACAAGGTTGTCATAGCTGTAGCAATCCGGTTCGGTTTTGAGCAAGAACGTAGTCATGCCCGATCATACGCGACAAGCGAGTACGTTTATTCGCGATCCGAGCTGTCCGTGTGCCCCTGCACATACGAACCCACGATCCGCGTGATCTCACCGTTGCGGTTGCGTTCGAAGGTCATCATGAACCCATCGAACCCATCAATCACAAACTGATCCTCACCAACCGCGATCAGTCGGCTCCAACTCGGACGCCCCTTGCGTCGATACATCAGCTCATCCCCCTCCATCATCAGCTCACGATCCGTGTACTGACCCGCGTATTCCGCAAGCTCATCCGCCGAGAGCTCAAGCGGATTCAGTCGGCTCTGCAGATTGATCAGCCCCCAGCGTGCCGATTCATCCCCAGTCTCCGCGAGCGTCTCCAGAATCTCGAACATCGCTCGATCCAGAGCGCGATCGGATTCGATCTCGATATCAGGCTTCACCCCAGTCCCCTCCCAGTTGGTCTTGGTGATCGGATTGATCGCGCGCCCCACCGGGATGTTGACCACAAACCGATCCTCAACGACAAACCCATCCACCGGATGCGCCCCGCCCCCAGTCGTTTCGCCAACGATTGTCCCACGCTTCAGGCACTGGAGATTGTACGAGAACTCCTCCGCCGCCGAGAACGTGTACCCGCTTGTGAGCACATACACCGGAACCTCAGGCATCGCGTTGGCAACCTCGATCTCATCATGAGTCCAGAACTCTGTCGTCTCATCCGCCGGACGGAAGTAGAGCGAGTTCAGATGCACCGGCTCATCAGGATCAAAAAGATAACTCGTAATGAGCTGCACCGTCTCCGGATCGCCGCCTCCGTTGTCGCGAAGATCAAAGATCAGCGCGCTCGATCCGTTGAGTAGCTGCATCGCCGCGTGCGTGTTCGCTCTCGCGGCCTCCACCTGCATGAACCCATCCAGATCCAGATACCCGATGTTCCCATCGAGCCGCTCGACGCGCATAAACCCGTTGGGTGTGGTGTTGGGTCTTGGGTCCGCGAGGTCCTCGCTGTCCGATTCCGATCGCTGCTGCCAGCCCTCAGGGAGCAATCGGATAGCGAAGTGCCGATCGCTCGTAAAGCTCTGCAGGTCCTGGGTGATCGTCATCGCGAGCTGCGGATCATCGAGCCCCTCATACGCCCCCTCGCTCTCGCGTTTGAGCAGGTAGTCCGCTGTCCGCTGACCAATCTCCGGAAACACATAGTTGTCACGGATCTCTTGTGCGAGTTCGGTAATCAGATCTTCCGCCGCGTCTTCAATCGCTTGACCAAGGATCGGGAGCAGCGACAACGCGCACACTGAAGGCACAAAAACAGACGACATCGAGATCATGGGAGTTCTCCTGAGCTTTGCTGCCCGCGTGCCTGCCAGATCGGACGCCGACCAATACACAGATGGTCAAGATCGGAGTTCCCGTCAAAGAATCCGATCAAATCGCAAGCGAACTTTGGTCGCGAGCGTTTCATTTGGACTCAGCACGCGTAAACCGCTGTCATTACTCGCTGAGTTGAGCGCATCATTGACCATCGTCACCGGCTCCACACACACCCAAGGCAGTGGGGGAGCGCCAGCCGCATCCCCATCCCTCGGCGTAAACACCACCAGATGCGAATACGCCTCGCTGCATGTCATCGAGCACTTGATCCCGCTTTTGTCCCACACAAGCTCCGTTTGACCATCGAAGCCACCGAATACATCATCCAGATCCGGATTCCCGATCACACCGCCGCTGCGAAGACTCGCACAGACATCATCATCTACCATCGCGCTATGTGGGATCTGATTGACGCATGGATACCGTCCTGTGACTCCCGCACGCACCTGCAGATCATCCCCTTGGTCCCAAAGCGTGCGATTGAAGTATGGATGATGCCCAACTCCACAAGGCATCCGCTCCTCACCAAGATTCGTCACATCAAGATCGAGCTCAACCCAGTCATCTCCAATCTCGATCCGAAACACCGCGCCGAAAGGGAACGGCCAGTTCACATCATCCTCCAGTCGAGAATCAAACATAAACCGCGCCGAATACGGCGAGCGATCCGCGATCGACCACGCAAAGTCTCGGCCGACCCCATGAATCGCCGTCCCATCAGGATGATTCGTCTCGAGCTTATACGGACCCCCCTCAAACGAGAACACCCCGTCCTTGATCCGATTGGTCCAAGGCAGCATCAAGAAGCTCCCCACGCACGCTTCTCCTGCACCCATCACACGATACCAATCACCATCAGGACCAAGCAGCTCGAGCGCATCAACTCGGCATCCGTTCATGGGGTCAATCACCACCTTCAGACTCTCACTGCAAAGCACGACTGGATTCATGTGAGACTGTAGGTTCAGATCAAACGCCCAGTTCCCGGACCTCGTCCGTAGGTCCGATTCAACGCAAGACTCACCCAGACGGAACAGCCGGTCCATACCCACGGCTCAAGTACGCGAATCTTGCGCATTGCGTGACAACGAATCGAACACTCTACTACGCCGACCGATGTTGTCTATTGACCATCGAGCCCAAGCTAGGGGCTCAACCCAACATCGGAGTGGGACTGGGAGGATCTTGGACAATGAGTGATCACAATCAACCAACACATAAGACGGGCAGACTCACCCCGCCGCGTTCCAAGAGATCAAAGTCAATCGATCAGCTCCCATCAGAGATCAAGCCTCCAAAGGACGCTGATGAGGTTCTCGGCGCCATCGAAGGTGTCGAGAAACAACTCGAATCTCTCCGTACTGCCCACGAAGAGCATCGCCGTGTGACCGCCGAACTCGCCGCACGCCGCGCTCAGATCGAAGAAGCCGCGGACTTTGTCGAAGCACGCGAATCAGAACTCGCAACGCTCGAGGTCGAACTGGCGCAGATGCGTGAAGAGCTCGAAGAGCGTGAATCAGAAATCGTTCAGCGTGCATCAGGTCTCGAACAGCGTGAATCACAGCTCGCACAACACGCAGAGAAGATCGAAGAACTCGAAGCGGTCGTGCAGGACAAATCAGACCAAATCGATCAACGCGTCGAAGAACTCGATAAGCAGCTCGAAGGAATCTCCATCCGCAAGGACGAACTCGCAAAGCTTGAGGAGCAAGCACGTGAGCGTATCGAGAAGGACAACGAGCTCGAAGCAAAGCTCACCCAAGTCTCCGAGGACCTCGCGAAGACCAAAGCAACACTCGGCGGACGCGAGATCGAGCTCAAGGATCGTGCTAAAGCCGTGGAAGAACTCTCGATCCAAGTCGGATTGCTCGAACAACAACTCAACGAGCAATCCGAAAAGGCGCACGCCGATGAGGAATCATCGCTCAAGCTTGTCGAAGAGATGCAATCCCAGCTCGACGAAGCGGAATCAAAGATCGCTCAGCACGAAGAAGCGATGCAGCGTGCGTTGGACCGCGTAGATGAACTCGAATCCTCGGCTCAGAAGCAATCCAAACAACTCGAAGAAGCGACCAAAACCATCGCCGAGTTCGGTTCAATCGAGCAGTCGCAAGCCGAGTCAATCGCAAAGATCGAAGAACTCAAGGCGCAACTCGATCAAGCGCCAACGAGTGAGCAGATCACAAAACTCCAGTCTGAACTTGAAAAAACATCAAGCAAGTATGAATCTGCTCAATCCGAAGTCGCTTCGCTGAAAGATCAGCTCGAAGCTTCGCCGACCGATGAGCAGATCCAGCAGCTCCAGACTGAGTTGGAATCCGCAACCAGCAAGCATGAGTCCGCACTCGCAGAGGTTGCATCACTCAAGGACCAGCTCAATGTGATCGGCGAGTCCGCAACCCAGGACATCGAACAATCCAGCGCCAAGATCGATGAACTGACCCAAGCGTTGAAAGATGCGAACGCGAAGCTCGAGCAAACTCAGCAGGATCACGAGCAAATCCAATCGCAGCTCAAAGCCAAACTCGAGGAAGCACTCACCTCCAGCCAACAGCTCGAGAGCTCTACCGGTGCTCACCAAGCAACCATCGACGAGCTCAAGCTGCAAATCGAGAAGCGCGATGACCAGATCGAGACAATCCGCTCCAAATACGACGAGCTCAGCAATCAGCTGCTCGAAGCCGAGGAGTCCTCTGAGAAACAAACAGCCGATGCGCAAGAAGCAAACAAACAAATCGAGCGTCTCGGCGAGCTGCTCGATGCCGCGGCTCAGCGCGAGCAGGAACTGCTCACAAAGATCGAGGAACTCCAGGAGCAGATGAACTCCGCCGCAAGCGAGTCCGCATCACGAACCGATGAATGGGCACAGGTTCGTCGCGAGCGATTGGACAAAGTGAAGTCGATCCTGCGTCAGCAGTCCGACAAGGTCCGCCGCGCCACTGAAGCACTCCGCGATCGCTATGACCAGTGCGAGAAAGTGCTTCTCAAGCGATCCGAGCTCGTCGAAGCGTACCAAGCAGTCGCGGATGCACAGGCAAAGCTCGCCAAGCGTGAAGCTCGATCTGGCACTCTGCTCGGACTCTCTGGTCTCGGATTGCTCCTGATGATGATCGCCGGGATCAGCTGGTTCGTCGCCGGACAAGTACAACCAGGTCAATACGCAGCGACCGTTACTGTCGCAGCCAACGCCGGAGAGCGAGCACTCACTTCCGACGACCTCGCTTCTTGGCAGGGTTACATCGAGCAAATGGTCAGCGATCCTCAGTTCATCGAGCAAGCCGCCTCACGCATGAAGCGCCGCGGGATCGATTCGCTTTCGGTCGCTGGAACCCTCAGCGCCCATATGCAAGATTCGCTCGATATCACCAGCTCCGAGCCAGGCACGATCACCATGGAATACCGAGGTGATGGTTCCGCTCGCACACAGCGTGTGCTCGATACCTTCGCGATGACCGTGACCAGTCAAGCAAACTCGGCGCGTGCACGCCGGATCGACGGAGCGTTGACCACCATCGAAGCACAAGCACAAGTGGGGGATTCACCGCTCGACACCAGCCGCATCGAAACCGCAGGGATGATCTTCGGCGGCTCATCCTTCGCGACATTCCTCTTCGGAGGCATCTTCTGGAGACGACTCGCGAAGATGAAAGCAAACTTCGAACGCGATTCACGCGTCGAACCACTCTTCGATGAAGAGTCCTGGGAAGTCGAAGGTCAAGACCTCTAAGCTGTTAAATCATGTATATCTCAAAACGCAAACCGCCGCATCAGGAGCCCTGATGCGGCGGTTGTTGTATCACGAGATCTATGCCTCTGAGAACATATTGAGAGACCAAGAGAGAGGCAATACCCCAAACAGTGGGAAAGTCTTGTCTTAAAGATCCGAATCCATGCTGGTCATGACAGGCTCAGCGTTCTCGATCGCTTCTGCCATGCCCTGGTAGATCGCGAGCTTCCGATCACTCTTGAGATTCACGCGGACCTCAAAGTCATCCAACTCGCCTTCGGATGCGAAGGTCGTGACCTCGCGGACCACATTGCCTTCCGCATCAAGCACGACCAAGCGGAATGGGTTTTCCTCCGAAGCCTTCATGTTCTTCACGAACAGACGAGCCGTGTCCCAGTCCGGATTGTGCCAGACCGACGCGACTGAGTTGGATGTCCCATCGGAGGATACGAGAGAAACACGCTCAGTGGTCGGATCGAACAGCGTCGATTCAAGGATGTCAGCGCCGATGGTATCATAGAGCTGGCCGAGCAATGCATCAGGAGTCATCTGGTTCACAGTCTGGTTGTTATTCGTCCAGACCACGCTCAGCGCAATGGTCGCGGCTGCGAACCCGATCGTCGACGCACGCCAGAGACGATGCACGCGTGGAGTTGTCGAGAGTTTGGGTTGGGCGCGACGAGCGGATTCATGAGTGATGCGACCAGCAACCGCAGGGGTGCTCGCAGCGATCCGCAACTCGTTCTCTTGCTCACGCATCGCGGCGCGGACCGCGGAGACCACAAGCTCACGGAGCGCCGGATCGGGCTCGTTATTCGGCATCAAATCGCCAAAGTCAGCCATCCGAGTCGCTTCTTCGCGTACGAGCAACTGCACAGATTCCGGAGCAGCAGCGAACGCCGCTTCGTATTCTGCGATCTCCGAGTCTTCGAGAAGACCCAGCGTGTGCAACATCGTGCTTTCAATTAGTTCCTGTGTGTTCATCATGATGGCACTTCTTCTTCCGTCCGTTCGCGCAGCCGAACGAGTGCTCGGCTCAACGCGGATTTAATCGTCCCGAGTGGGGTATCGAGTTCTTCACTGATCTGTCTGAGTGTCTGACCACCCAAATACGCACGAACAACGACCGTGCGCTGGAGTTCTGGTAAGGTGTCGACTCTGGTCATCAACGCCTTGAAGTTCTCATCTCGCTCCATCCGAGCAGAGATGTCTTTCGCTGCTGGAGTGTGCCGACCGTCGCCGTTGGCGCCAGTTGACCCATCATCAAACATGGAGGTCTTGATCCGAGCACGCTTGCGACGAAGCTTGTCTACAAGGTGTCTGCGTGTCAGCAGCATGACCCAAGTGACCAGTGCGGCTTTGCGAGGATCGTACCGATCTGCGGTCTTCCAAAGACGGACAAAGATCTCTTGCACCGCGTCGTCCGCCTCGTCCCGTGTCGGGAGTGACTGCACAGCCATACGAAACACCAACGATCCGAAACGGTCGTAGAGTTCGCCGACACCGGCTTCCTGGTTGGCTGCAACACGCTGCATCAACTCGAAATCGATCCTGCCTTGACCCGAAAAATCACTCGCCTTCAACGGAGGAGAGCCATCACCCGCCCCAACTCCAGCAGAGCCGATTGGGGGGGTGTTTCCGGGTTGTTCCGATTCATTCTTCTTCATATTTCCCGGGTCCACGAGCGTGCCCGGTGCCTGTGAAACGACCACAGAGCACCTCCCTATACGCTAACAGCATCATACGGATGCTTGCAAGTCCTTCATTTAGGGAATTTTCTGCACTTTGAATTCATTATTATTCGGACTGTGTTCGCATAGAACAATGTTCTGAGCCTCAGTCCCTCGGAATTGCGCTTGCAAATATCCCACGAACCCACTATCTTGTGAGTGCGTTAGGATGGTAAGGCTGAGCAATCGGTCTAGTCCGAGAATCGTTCATTCACCCGGCAGGAGTGGATCGCCGATACATCGGACACTGAAAGTGGTCTATCTCGTGAGACAGTTTCAACGCCAATCAAAGACTCTCCGCAGTGTGCATACTCGCGCCGGCGCGTTCACTCTGATCGATGTGCTCGTGTCGATCGCCGTGATTGGACTCTTAATCGCGATCATGCTCCCAAGCATCTCCATGGTGCGAGAGTCTGCACGCAAAGTCATCTGCTCGTCGAGCATGCGTCAGGTTGGTCTCGGCATGAACCTCTACGCCGAGGATAACAAGGACATGCTCCCGTCAAGCGTTTTCCTTGCTAACCCAGAGTCTCGTTTCACCGAAGCGTACTACCCACACCTGATGGACACCATCCGCACAGATGCCAATGAGTTTGAGCCTCGTGAGTGGAATCAATGGGACGGCCTCGGACTCCTCTACTACAAGAGCTATGTCACCGCCCCAGGTGTCTACTACTGCCCAAGCCATACCGGAGAGAACACACTCGAGAAGTACGAGGATCAGTGGAACTTCTCGACCGATGGCGAGATCATCGCCAACTACCAGTTCCGTGGTGTCGGACCAGACGGCCAACGCCATCTTTACAACATGCGCGCCACCGACGCGATGGTGACCGATTCGCTCCGTTCAGTCGAAGACCTGAACCACGAGAACGGGCTCAATGTGCTCGCCGCAGGTCTTTCAGTTGCATGGTTCGAGGACATCGACAGCCGACTCATGCAGTCTGTCATGTCCCGAACTGACGAATCTATCGCAGATGACACCACCCAAGCGTGGCAACTCTTCGACGGCGGACCTCGCTCACCTATCGACTAATCATCTCGAAGGCCAAACCATCCCCTCAAACACCCGTGAATGAATGCACCACGCTGTGAATGCGGATATTGTGTGGACATGATCCACACACCCCCAGTTATTCGTCTGCTATCAGCCCTGCTCGTGTTCCTCGCGATCATCACCCCGACGATGGCGCAGATCACACCAGAACGCTTGTACTACGGCGTAGGACAACGCGTGATCGTCAACATCGAAGTACCCGAAGGATTCTTCGGAGAGATCACCGTCCGTGTTTATGACCCAATCGCCCAAGAATGGACCCACGAAGCGCCAGCCGCAAGCGGACGCGTCGATCTCACCAGTTTGCTCCCATACCTTTGGGAAACCAAACCGCAGACCGTCAGCTACGCACAGCTCGAACTTGACGGCACGCCGACCGGCGCCCCGCTCGTGCTCCAGCCTTTGGTCACACCAAACCGTGCCAAGCTCGTCGACGCAACCACGATGGCGCTCTCAGAGGACCCCAGAGGAGCAGTAGTCTTCGAAGACAAGCGACTCCCAGCGCTCCAAGGGCAAGGTAAGTCCGAATCCGGATTACGACAAGTCACCTTCTCAGGACTCCGTGTGTATGTCGATCAAGAAGTCGTCATGAAGACAAGCGCCGGAGACATCGTCTTCCGCATGCGTCCCGACGCCGCACCCAACACCGCATACAACTTCCTCCATCTCTCAGACGGCGGCTTCTACACCAACATCATCTTCCACCGCATCGTCGCAGCTCTTCCCAACGGCAATCCATTCGTCATCCAAGTCGGAGACCTCTCAGGAACAGGTTCAGGAGGTCCCGGATACATGATCGATCTCGAAGACTCATCACTTCCGCATGACTTCGGAGTCCTCTCCATGGCGCGCGATTCAGATCCCGACACCAACGGCTCACAAGTTTTCGTCGCACTCTCCAGAGAAGGGACCGCATTCCTCGATGGACGCTACACGGCATTCGCTGAAGCCGTCCAAGGCGCCCAGGTCATCCGCGAGATCGCAGCGACTCCAGTTGGAGCCGAGGACCGTCCGATGGATCCCCCCATGCTCCTGAGCTGCACCACGCGCGACGCGCCCCCAATCCAAGATCGGCTCCCAGCACTGTCCACGCTGGAACAATCTCCAGCCGAGCAGCAGCCCGATCCCAACGAACCGGATCGTTGAAACAGTCCATAGTTCTTGTTGAGTTGATCAGAACGAGATCTTCAATCCCGCGCCCACAAACACCGATGGATCGATGTCCTCATCGACCACTGTGTTTCCTGCGCTGTTGAGGATCTCCATATTGCCCGCGAGTGTCACGCCGACCTCCGCGAACAGAGAAACACGCGATGAATCCCCGCCCTTGAAATCGATGTAGTAGGACACAGGCACACCGGTCGTGTTCACCGCGCCGTCTGGGACCAGCGTGTTGTCATCATCAATCCGGAAACTCTGTCCATTGAACCTCGCTTGGATCCCCATGCTCAGCTCATCGCTCCACTTGTAGTTGAGTCGAGCGCCAGGACCCTCAGTGCGGATCGACCAGTACTCATCAATCGTGTACGAAATCTGCGGCAACGGCACAATCCGCACATCATCCTCAATCTGTGAGAATACCCCGACCCCAATCCCGAGCTGAAGTTTTGGATTCACCTGGAACATGAACCCACCCAGCGCGTTCCAGACCAACGCATCACTCGCGCCACCCTCACCAGCGAATCCAATACCACCTCCGACGAAGAATGATCTCTCCCTGTCGATCGCCCGCGTGTACAAGCCGTCAAAGCCGTACTCAATGACTGTATCAAACTGGGTACCCACCGTCCCAGCAGTTGTCCCCACCGCACCCGCCGGCGGCGTGATGTCATAGTCCGTGAGCTCTACGCCAACCTTCAGCAGCAGTCGTGCCCGATCATCGATTGGGATCAGGAACCCTAGATCCGCGCCATACTGACGAGTCTCGATCTCACCAACCGCCGTGTCAAAGTCCGTCTCCGCATTGAATCGTGCGCCCAGGTCCAGAGTCACAACGGTGCCGGGACCTTTAGACTCCGCGATCTGCTCAATCTCCGGATCATCAGCAGTGGTGGTCACTTCCTGACCCGAATCCTGAGCGAGTGCCAATCCGGAACATGACAAGAGCCCGGAAAGGACGAGATATGGGACCATTTGTGGGATCGAGGGCGATGACTTTGCCATGAATAAATCTCCTGCTCGCATGGTACCCCCTCTGATTCGCTGTCAGGCACCGATCGGATGAAGATTCCATGCCCAATCAACTCGCCGAGCGACAAATTCAAGGCTACACTCATGCCCCGATCTGGTCGATAGACCACATCTGGATAGCCCTGGGGGGCTAACTCAATTGGTAGAGTGCCAGCTTTGCAAGCTGGAAGTTAGGGGTTCAAGTCCCCTGCCCTCCACTTTCCCGGATCCGTCCGGCTCTCGATTCCGCAGGATGTGAATCATCCCGCTTCCCGGTTTGTCCCCGGCCAAGCACACGCGTCGAAACGAGAAAACCCGCGAGGGTCACTATGACAACACAGATGTACACCGATCAGTATCAAGTGATCGCGTTCTATAAGTTTGTCCACATCGACGACTGCGACACCTACGCGCCGATCCTCAAGCAGCACATGCTCGATCGCGACATCATGGGAACCATCCTCCTCGCCGAGGAAGGCATCAACGGCACGATCTGCGGACTCCCACAAGCAATCGAAGAGATCGTCGACCTGATGCGTGCGCACACAGGTCTCGAGGACCTCCCATACAAGTCCAGCTACGCGCCAGGACATGTCTTCAATCGCGCCAAGGTCAAAGTCAAACCATCATTAATCAGTCTCGGCGCTGAAATCGATGAAACAATCGATCCCAACCAGCTCGTCGGTGAGTATGTCGATCCCAAAGACTGGAATGATCTGATCTCCGATCCAGAAGTCGTGCTGATCGACACCCGGAACGACTACGAGTACTACGCGGGAACATTCGAGGGCGCGATCGATCCAAAGATCACCCGCTTCCGCGATCTCCCGGAGTTCGTCAACAACAACTACGATCCTAAGGTCCACAAGAAAGTCGCGATGTTCTGCACCGGAGGCATCCGCTGCGAAAAATCAACCGCGTGGATGCTCCAGCAGGGGTACGAACATGTCTACCACCTCAAAGGCGGCATCCTCAAGTACCTTGAAGATGTCCCACAAGAGCAAAGCATGTGGAAAGGGGATTGCTATGTCTTCGACGAACGCGTCGGAGTCAACCACGATCTCCAACCATCAGATGAAGCAAAGTTCTGCCCAACCTGCGGACACGCGCTGACGACCAAACTCCGCTGCGCCCCAGAATACATCCCAGGCGAGCGCTGCTCGTTCTGTCCAGCAGATTCAGATTCCTGATCAGTTCTTGGGTTTGGTCCCGAACATCACCATGTTCCACGCCATCCGCCGGACCAGCGGAGTCCTTCCGAGGACATTGTCCATCGCCGCGAGCGGCTTCCACCACCAAAGTTTCTTCGGATCCTCCTTGAAGATCCGCTTCCAGTACCGATCGTCATTGGGTTTGACCGAATCGATCAGGTAGTACTTCAAGAACAGCACCAGCGAAGCAATCCAGAACTCGCGATGCTGGACATCCTCGAAGTACTCTCCGAGCAGATCAACATCCTTGAAGGTCAACGGCTCTTCATCCGGAGTCCGCACGTCCGTCGCCATGTTCCGATACACATTAATGACCGGGTTGTACGCGAGCGGATCCCAGGTAAACACCCGACCACCAGGCTTGAGCGCCCGAAGCACCTGCTCGTACATCGCGCGTTTATCCGTCACATGATGGATTGTGTTGGCGATGTACACCAGATCAAAGGTCCCCTCAGGAACATCGATCGTCTCACCCGCCGCGACAAGCCCATCGAGCTCTACGCCGTGGTGCTTTCCGAGCTCGATCGCTTTATCCACCATCCCTTGCGAGATGTCGCTCGTCGTGACCTTCGCGCCCTTGAGCGCGAAGTACACCGATGATTCCCCAAGCCCGGCGCCGACATCGAGCAGCTTCTTCCCATTCAGATCACCCATCATCTTCAAAATGAACTGATTCTCCGGAGCAGTGGGGGACTCAAACGCTTCATACACATTGATATCTTCGATCGGAGTCGACTGCGCCCACTCGTCATGGAACGCGGCCTCATGCTCATGGATCGACTCCGTCGACTCATGTTTCTCGAAGATCGGTTTCTCAAGTGTCTGTTGCTCGCTCATGTTCCCTCAGCTTCCGTTTCCCGCTCGAGCACCGCGTAAATCGAAGATCCCGCGACCTGCTCAGGTAGTAGAGCATACTCCAAAGACATCACTCCCGCGATCATACCATGCACAGGACGCATCAATCCGCTCGGCGGATGGATGATCGTCGAACGCTTCATCCCGAGCTTGCCCGTGATCCACCCCGCCGCGAGCAATGCTCTGAAAGCGTATCCACATGATTTCAGCCGCAATCCAGCTCGCTCAGCGAGCGTTTGCATAGAGAATCGGTCGTATCGGAGGTAATGCCCGTAATGCTCGTCGTAGTTGCTCCAGAGCTCCATCCGCGCCGGCATCGTCACGATCACCCGCTCCAATGAAGGGGCTCGATCCATCACGGCCTGCAAGAACTCATCCGGCTCCTCGATATGCTCAAGCACATCGAGCATTAGGATCGTCTTGAAGCGTCCGATCCAATCCGAATCAAGATCAAAGAAATCCACGCCTGTCTGGAGATACTTCCCGATCCGATCATTCATCGCCGGAGACCGCTCAAGATCCACACCCCAACAGTCGAATCCCTGATCCCGGAGAGACTGCGTGACGACCCCTCGCGCGCATCCGATCTCCAATATCGGCGCTTGGATATCCGCGTGTTGCGAGACCAAGTTCTGGATGATGCGATTGCGTGCGATCGACCAGTAGTGATGCTCGATCCCGTCGGGATACGCATCAAGAAACGAACCATGCTCGGATTGTGAACTCACCGGATGATCCAGTTGAGCCTCCGCGCTGCTCATGCTGTGGTGCTCTCTTCTTCCAGAACCTGAGCCGCCGATGCCCAACCATCGACAGGACGCTTCGCGAGAAACACCTTGGGTTCGCTGATCGTCGATGAATCCACGACCCGATCACCCATCGCGGTCCGCTTCGCGAGCGCGACCTCTGGGATCTTCTGCTTGAACCGCTTGGGATCGATGTTGTGCGTCTGCGACACCCAGTAGAGCGGTCGCCCCTGCCCCTGCTCGAACACGCGCCCCACATACTGACCGATCACCGCGATCGACATCAAGATCAATCCCGTATACATCGTCATGAGGAACACCGCTGAGGTCCAGCCCGGCTCGTTGATCCCGCTCACGAAGAACACGATCATCGAATACACCAGATACGCAAGACCCAAACCCCAGGTCAGACCCGCGGCCCACATGATCGAGCGTATCGGAGCCGAGGACATGCTGAACACCGCATCCGCTGCGAGCTTGAGCATCTTCATGAACGGATACTTGCTCTCGCCCGCATGACGCACATCCCGATCATACTGCAGGATGCACTGCTCGAATCCCAGATGCGTGAACATCCCACGCAAGAAACGATGAGGCTCACGAAACGCACGCATCGTGTCCGCGACCGGCTTGGTCACACAGCGGAAATCCCCCGCGTTCTCAACAACCTTCACATCCCCGATCTTGCGAAGCATCGCGTAGAACAACTTTGCCGTCCAGAGTTTGAACTTCGTCTCGCCGGGACGCTGTGTCCGCTGCGCGTGGACGATGTCGAACCCTTCATCAATCAGTCCGAGCATCCGAGCGATGACCTCAGGAGGGTCCTGTAGATCAGCATCGATGATCACCACCGCATCGCCGTGGGCGAAGTCCAGCCCAGCTGTCACCGCGACCTGATGCCCGCGATTGCGCGCGAGGTTGATGACCTTGACCCTGCTGTCATTGACCGCGAGTGCCGCGAGTATGTTGGAGGTCCGATCCGAGGAGCAGTCGTTAACGAAGACCCATTCGTGGTCCCAACCCTCGATCGCGTCCGCCGCCGCAATGCTCCGCTTGTAGAACTCAGGGAGGACCTCTTCCTCGTTGTAACAAGGCACGATGATCGACACAAGCTTGTTCGATTCAGCAGACTTCACCAGAGCGTCCCCTATCTCAGCGTGCCGCGGAGAACTCCACAGCTCGATCAGTGACCACAAGTATAGCCGACCACGACGGGGTTTACCCCCAGCCCAATCGCCTCACTAGCCTCACTTGAGATCAGAATTTTGCCCATTGTCTGGGAGTTCTCGGACGATTCCGAGCCCCACCCAGAGCGTGGTGAAGAACAACGCGAGCAGCGCCCACATCGCACCGCCGATCGCCCTCCATTGCATCGTGAGCTGCTCGTACTGCTCCCCGCCAGGCGGGAAGGTCATCGAGACCCAGAACAGAAACAACAAGATCCCGACCGGGATTTTCCGCTTCTTCGGGATCTTTGTGTGCAGAACCGCCGACGCAAGCGCGACGACGATGATCGCGAGGAAGAAGTGACGCACCGTGGACTGCGGTGAGAAGATCAACATCCCGACAATCAACCCCGCCCATTCGAACCCAACGAGCCCACGCCCGCGAGCCCTCGCATCGTCATGCTTGACCGATCGTCCCTTGAACAGCGACACACCACGCTTGAGGTACATCATCCATCCCACCGCGACAATCAGACCGATCATCGCGAGTGTCCCGAGTTTGATAACCGATTCGCTGAGTCCCCAGTGGATCTGCGCACGCGCGAGCACGCTGGGGATCGTTACGCTCCGCTCCCACTCGAGCGGATACAACCCCGACTCGATCGCGGCGTTCGTTTGCTCCACGCCTACCAAGCCGCCGACCCACCCGAGCACAGTACCGAGATACTCCATGTTGCGATCGAATCCCCAGATCAATGCGCCGAACATCGCAAAGAATACCGTCCCCAGCACAAAGCCGATCAGATTCTTCACACGCCCCCGAGCAATCAGATACGGCAGAAACACAATCCCCTGCAGCTTCACATTCACCGATCCCCCAAGCATAAAGCCCGCAAGGATCGGTCGCTTTGCGATCCACATGAGTCCGAGCATCATCCAGATCATCACAAATGCATCGGACTGCCCCATCCGAACCTCGCTGCGGAGCTTGTCCATGAACACGAGCACAACAAGGAACGACACACCCACCAGCAGGTTCGCATTTGCTTTCATCCCGAGCCGGGTGATGGACTCGCGCACCGCGATATACACGCACAGCACGATGAGCAGCGTATTGATCACGCTCCACGCAGCGCCCGCGCCTCCCAGTCCCATCCACACCAACGGCGACAGCACCACCGCAAACAAAGGGAAATACGCGTACCAGTGCACTCCAGTAAACGGCTCTCCAGAGGTATAGATATTCTGATCGTGCACCACACCGTATGCGGCGTAATAGAAATGTTTAAAGTCCCCGCTTGTTGGTTCGTTGAGAAACCGAATCACGCTCTCAGCGCCGACAACGACAAAGAACCCGATCATCAGGATCAGGAGCAGCCAATATTTAAGCGTCAGACGCTGACCTGTCCCCACAGAGCGCGTCATACCGAACGAGCCGCCTCGATAATCCCTCGGCACTCACCAAAACCAATGCGCCGATATCCCTCACGCTCGCAGTACGCCTTCATGATGATCTCGTCACCATCAGCAATGAACTTCCGCTCCTCGCCAGTTGGCAACACAATCGGAGTCCGCTGTGTCCCTGGCACCGAGATCGGCGGATTTGCGAACGGATCACCATCCCAGGTCAACTCGAGCATCGAACCACGCGAGTCACGCGTCGTCCCAGAGATTGTTCCAGATCCGAGCAGATCACCTGGCTGCAGATTACAACCATTGACCGAGTGATGCGTGACCATCTGCGCCACAGTCCAGTACATATCCTTGAAGTTGCCCTTCGAGAGCTTGATCGGATCCATCCCCTGCTCACGCATCTTCTCAGACGCGAGCCAAACCTCAACCGTGATATCAAATCCGCCGCTCTTGCGATTCTCGTCGCTGTCCATGTAACCCAGCGGCTGAGGATCACCAGCATCCCGCTCCTGCGCCCCACAACGGAACGGCGCCAGCGCCTCCATCGTCACAATAAACGGCGAGATCGTGCTCGCAAAGTTCTTCGCAAGGAACGGCCCAAGCGGGACATACTCCCACTTCTGAAGATCACGCGCCGACCAATCATTCAAGATACACAACCCAAGGATGTGGTCTTCCGCATCCTTGATATCGATCGGCTCACCAAGCTTGTTTCCGCGTCCGATGAACGCGCCCATCTCCATCTCATAGTCGAGCAGTTTGCAAGGACCAAAGCTCGGAGATCCACCTTCTTCCGCAGGCGCCTGCTGACCAACCGGACGCTTGATCGAGGTTCCTGAAGGAATGATCGACGACGCTCGGCCGTGGTATCCGATCGGGATGTGCTTGTAGTTTGGGAGCAGCGGATTGTCAGGACGGAACATGGACCCGACATTCGTCGCGTGATAGAGCGAAGCATAAAAATCCGTGTAATCCCCGATCGGATCGATCAGAGGCAGCGACATCATCGAATCATCACGAGGGATCACGATCTCATCACGCAGCGGATGATTCTGCAGCGCGTCGTTGTCCTTGCGGAGCAAGCCCTGGACCTTCTTGCGTAGACCACTCCACTTGCCCTCAGCAACGATCTGATCCACAGCGACGAAGTCCCAGTCCGAATCGTCCTCCGGAGCGAGCTCAGTCATCGAGAGCCGATTGAGATCCAGCAGCATGTCCCCGATCGCGACAACAGCCGAAAGCGTGAACTCATCACCAGTCTCCGAATCCTCAACACGGCGAATCACCGTCGCGAGCGGGAGATTCTGGATCGGGAAGTCCGTCGAGGGATCGTTCGCGCTCTCCACCCAAGACTCGAGTTTGGGATCATGTGTCTCATCAATCGCGTATGGCATTCAAGCACCTTTCAGACTTAAGCATTACAACTCAACTTCGTGCATATCCACTGGATCGGGATCTGGAGTCAGATCAGGATCAGCCGGCGGAGTCGGTCTCTTGAGCATAGCCGTCGCGAACATCAACGGCACACACCAGATCGCAAAGCTCAACAGCACCGGACCGAAATCCTCGCCCGCAAGCTCGTACCACTTCCCAGCGAGATACGGCGCCAGTCCAGTCGCCGCCACCCCGAAACTCGTCATAAATCCGCGGATCGCACCGTGGTGCGTGCGTCCAAAGAATCGCGCCACCGCCGGAGATCCAACCGCGACCGAGACCGCCATCCCCAAGCCATAGATCAGCATGCCGACCTTCATCGTGAAAACCACATCCGCAGTGCGTCCAGTCGCTCCATACCAGCACACCAACGATCCAAGCATCATCAGGAAGGGGGCAATCGGGAGCAAGACACGCGCTCGAAACTTATCCGCGAGCCAGCCTGTGCAAAGCATCCCCAAACCAAAGCTGATCGCCCACATCTGATTCGCGCCAGCTGCTTGTGCTTCTGTGCCTTCAGCACCGCCGACACGGATGATCTCTTGCATATGAAACAGCAGCGCCGTTCCGATGCACCCTGAAGTACACGAGAGCGTGAGCAGAATCCAGAACGAGAGCGTCGCGCGAGCTTGTGCTGCTGTGAACGCAGGATCCCCGATCGGAGCACTCCCGCCGTGCGCGACATCATGATACAGGTGCTCCGATGCATCGCCGTCCAGATGCTGACCGATGTCCTCGGGTTTGTTGCGAAACACAAACACGATCAAAGGCATCAGAACGACGACCACGCCAATCCCCAGATACAGCATCGTCTGCGATGGACCAAACTCCCCGATCATCCACGCGACAGGTTTGGGAAGAATCGCGGACCCCAGCGCAAACCCACCCACAGCGAGCACCGAATGCGCCATGCCGAGCTTGCGCTCAAACCACATCGCGATCGTGTGTCCGCTGAGCATCCCAAGCGATCCCTGTCCGAGGAATCGGATACAGAAGAACCCAATCCCCAGCGTGATGATCCCTGTCGCCCAGTTGAGCGCGATCAGCGCCATCGCGTACAGAATCAGAATCACCGCCGCGACAATCCGAATCCCAAACTTATCCGCGGCTTTCCCCACCCAAGACAACGGGAATGCCGCGATGATCGTCCCGACCGTGTACGCGAGCGAGAGCTGTGCCACGCTCAATCCGAGCTTCTCACGAAACGACAGATTAAACAGAGACACGATCACCGTCTGCGAGGGCATCGTCGCCATCGCCATCAGCACCGCGACGCCCAGCATCACCCAGCCGTAGAAAAACCGCGCTGGTTTGGAAACAGATTCGTTTGTTTGATCGCTCAAAGCAGTCCCATCGCCTTCAGATCCGCGATCGGCTCATCAATCGAACAACTCCCATAGCTCGTCGCGAATCCCTCACGCATCTGTCCGAGCTCGATCGTCGAGACTTTCGTCCCCTTGTGCGTAACACTCTGATCCTCGAAAACAAACGCCTTGGGATCCATCTCTTCCAGAATCCCAACAACTGTACCCAGCTCCGGTTTCTTCGTTGCGCGGACATACGCCGCCGCAAAGAACACATTGATAAAGCCGTGCATCACACCGCGCGGCGCGTCGTCCTCGTAGGTCAGCGCATGCTCCGCACGGATCGGGTGATGCAATCCCGCAGTGCACTTAAACGGCACATTGGCGTTCTTGCACGCGAGCATGAACTCCGCGATGTTCTCACAACTCGGGAACATGCTTGGTTCCACCCCGCCGCAGCGGATCTTCGCGAGGACTCCCGATCCCGACATCGCCGCGATGAGCCCGCGTGGATCGCCGTTCATGATGATGTCCTGAGGAACCTCGAAAGCTGTGTCGATCATCTCCGGAATAATCTCCAGAGCGTCGTCAATCTCATCCGGAGTACTCACACGCATCTCGATCGCATCTACCAATGCCAAGCCGTGCGCCTCATCGTCGTGGTGCTCGTTGAACTTGTAGATCAACTCGAGGTTCTCTTGCAGATCACCGATGATGATCCCCGAAATCTGCCAAGGCTCCAGCACATCCGCGTGCTCGCGATACCCACTCGTCGCGTGCGTGCCAGGCATGAGCATCGCGCCGTGCTTCGTCAGCTCATCGAGCTTCGGAACCGGACAGATGAAGCGTCCGACAAAGTCCGCGTGCTGAGCGCGGAGATACTTCGCGTAGTTCTCTGTTGCTCGATTCATCGGGAGTTGACTCGGAGGGAACAGCCCCGCGTAGTCGATCAAACCACCCATCAATGTCTGGACACTCGAGAGCACACTTGTTTCAGAATCGGTCATGCACAACAGTAGGGGATCGGCGCGGATCAACCCATCACAAATCTCTCAAGATTCAGGGCATGAGATCGACATCTGGTCTTCCCATTTGCCCATGGAATCCGTCGGATGAGTATCGGGATCAAAGAAGTCCTGAAGGACATCCTTGAAGATCACCATCCGCCGATTCGTCGCAACATCCCCCTCGACATGACCACAAGGCACGCAGTAGCGCCACTTGTATCCTGGATCCGAATCGACCGCGTTAAACACCGCCGCCGCGGTCGGCGCTGGCGCGACTTCATCACGCTGCGCCAGCATCGCGAGTGTGGGACCTCGCACCTTGCGTCCGTGCACCACTGCGTCCATCAATCGCAGCCGATGGATCAGCTCTTCGCGTCGATCGGGATGCTGATCGAGGATCGCTTTAAACTGGGCGCTGAGTCCAGCATCGGAATGTGCCAATCGCCAATGCCAAGCGCCAAGCGACGGCACCTCAAGAGCGAGCCGATCCACAATCGGTCGTCCGAGCATGCGCCCCGACAACTGCGATGCCGCGATCGCCGCGAGACCACCACCAAGCGATCGTCCATGCAGATAAATATCCGGATGCCGAGGCTCTCCTTCAAGCCAAGGCTCCAGATCCCGCGCATCGCGTCCCAGCAAAGCATTCCGCATCACGCGAACCGCATTACACACATCTGCGAGCGCATCCGGGAGCACCCAATCCTTATGTTGATAATCCGCAAATCCTGTCGTGATCCATGACGGATCGCGCGCATCAAGATCAAATGTGCCACCCTGTGTGTTGGTGCGTGATCCAGGATACCCACGCAACCTGATCGCAAGGACCGCGACTCCACGATTGCAAACCTCGGACCATTTCCGATCCTCGTGTTGAAGCTGATCAGGAATCGAATAGCCATGGACTGTGACAAGCGATGCTCGAACCGGGACACCCTTCGCAGGAGTGATCAATCGGCACCCAATCCGTACCCCATGCGTCGAAACAAACTCGTGCGTCGCAGAAGGATCCGTAGGGTCTTCAGCACTCCGCGCATTGAGCACAGGAGACTCCTGCGCCAGTCGCTCAAACCACGCATTCCAGAACACCGAATGATCCGGCGCCGGAGTCGGATCACCCACATGCGCGTAGGTCTCGACCGCACCCATCCCGAAATCGCTCGGCAGTTCATTCATCCGTCGGACAGTCCCTAATCAATCACTCATCAAGGCTGATAGCTCTCAAACTCCGCCGCTTCCTTCTCCGCGATCATCTTCTTACGAAGCTTCTTGTACGCCTTGTCAATCGCTTTGAGGTTCACATCCGCGACCCACAGCTGCGAGCTCGGACGCCCCTCATCACCACGCAGCTCACCGCGCTGAGCTGTCCACATCATCGTCTTTCCATCAGGTGAGAACACTGGGAGCCCATCAAACCCCTTCGCATTCGTGATCCGCATGCGTGGAGTCTCATCGAGCGGGTACTTCCCAGTCGCATCGACGCAGAAGACCTCGTAGTTCGCGTGCGACATCTCGCTCGTCGCATAGAACAAGTATTTCCCGTCAGGCGTGTAGAACGGACACCAGTTCACATGCTCGTTATCAGTGATCTGAACCTCTTTCTCGATCCCAATCACCTTGCCGTCATCATCGAACGCGAGTTTCGAGACGAAGATCTGGAGCAGCTTATCCTCGCGACGATCCGATCGATAGCAAATCCACTTGCCATCCGGAGAGAAGAACGGCCCGCCGTCATACCCCGGCTCAGTGATGAGCGGTGTATGCGAATCATCCTTGGAATCCCAGATCCACAAATCGCCGTCCGTCCCGCCCGGCTGAAGACGCGTATACAGAATAGAACGACCATCAGGAGACCAAGACCCCTCCGCGTCGTACCCATCACGCTCCCAGAGCGCCGTCGCTTCGCTCTTGCCCATCTCCGCACAGCATGTCCCGTGTGCTTCAGTCAATGTCATCTCGACGATGTCCATCTCACGCGGGAACTGCCACGAGTACTTTGAGGTCCCGCGTTGGTATCCCGCGACATCCTCCGTCTCAGGAGCGACAAGCGTCGATCCAAAGAGCACGCGCGAGGAATCCTTTGGATGGAACCAGCCGCAGGTGTTGGAGGATCCCCAGTTAGACAGATTGGTGATGTGCTCGATCTTGGTGATCTCTTTCCCATCACGCACGACATCTGCTGCGTACATCAAGTAGTGCTCGAGCGGCTCATCACCCTTCGCCGGAGTCGGGATCGCTTGGAAGATGATCCGCTTGCCGTCGTGCGAGAAGTACGCCTCACCCGCTTTGATGAACCGATCCGCACTCGTGAGCTGAACATGATTCGTCAAAAAGCTCTTTTCATTACTCGGCCATTGATCATCCCACTCAGGATTGGGATTCGATGCCATCGCAGAAACAGCAAACAAAGAAACAGCGACGCTCGAAATCGCAAGATTCCGTGCACGATCGGTCAGTACGGATACACTCGTGTTCATGGGAGATACTAGGTCCACAAGACGCATCTATCGAAACCCGCCGGACATCACCGAGTCCATGATTCGTCGCGTCCAGACCGGACCGATCCCGCATTTCCAGTACACCCCCCCAGAGGGTCCAATCCCAGTGCTCTACGAGGACGAGACATTCGTCGTCGTAGACAAGCCTTCTGGTATCCTCTCCGTGCCTGGGATCGCTGAGGACAAGAAAGACTGCGTGCGAACGAGAGTCGAGGAGCAGTTCCCGCTCGCGACCGGACCGATGACCTGCCACCGACTCGATCAGTCCACCTCAGGGGTCATGATCCTCGCGCTCAATCCCAAAACCCACAAGAATCTCTCCAAGCAGTTCGAGGATCGCAAGATCACCAAACGCTACCTCGCACTGATCGAGGGACACCTCGAATCCGACGAAGGCACCATCAACACCCCGATCCGCAAAGATGTCGATGTCCGACCGCTCATGCTCGTCGATCACCTCTACGGCAAGCCGTCCGTCACACACTACAAAGTCCTCAGCAGAGAAGAGTTCAAAGGACAACCCGTCACCCGAATCGAGCTTGTTCCCCACACAGGACGCACCCACCAACTCCGCGTCCACTGCGCCCACCCCAAGGTCACGACAGTGGGGGACCCCAAAGAGGGCGAAACCGACGGACTCAACGCGCCGATCATCGGAGACGAACTCTACGGCTCAGATGTCAATGACCCCTACAAACAAAGACTCTGCCTGCACGCATCCATGCTCAGTATCCATCACCCAATCACGGGCGTCCGCATGACCTTCAAAGCACCAGATCCGTTTTAATCAATACCGAAACGGCGGCAGATGCGGCGCCGGCCAACTCAGGCCTGCGGCTTCCATGATCCTTCGAAGTTCGATCAGGTCATGCTCTCCGAACGAATCACGATCGCGTGAATCCACATCAAGCACACCCCAGCACTTACCTTCGTCATCAAACATCGGGATCACAAGCTCAGACTTGTCCCTCGGATCGCACGCGATGTACTCCGGACCTAGATGCGCCACATCCGCGATGATCATCGGACGCTTTGTTCGCCATGATTTGCCGCAAGCGCCGTGCAACTCGATCGGAGAACACGCCGGTGTATCACGAGAAGGACCGAGCGTCATCGACTCCTCACCATCATCGATGGTGTAAAACCCCACCCAAGACACACCCTCATCCTTGAAGAAGCGCCAGAGCACATCCACAACCTCACGCATCCGTCGGACACGATCACCCGCGACATGATTCAGCGCCAGCGCAACAGGTTCATACTCTCGATCAAACGCGGCCATGCCCAATCCTATCACCAGAATCGTTTCAATGAAAAAACCGACTGGAGATCCAGCCGGTCATGAATACTCAATCGATCGCTGGGATCAGAGGGTTGCGTTGGTGAATGGGAGCAGTCCCATGTGACGCGCCCGCTTGATCGCCGTCGCAACCATGCGCTGCTGACGAGCGTTGGTGCCGAGACGCTTGCGGCCGTAGATCTTGCCGTTTGGAGTCATCATGCGACGAAGGTTCTCGACATCCTTGTAGTCGACATACTCAACTCCCTTGCCGGAAGTGGTGGTTACCTTAGTCGGAGCGGTCTGGAATCGTTGGAATCGGCTCATATCTCTGTTTCCGTCCTGGTCGTTGTGGCCCGAGTCTGTGATCAACGCGATCAGCACCCCGAGCGACGGATTTCATTTGCGGAGAGGAGTTTAGCCCTGTTCCCCGCCATTGTCGACTGTCCACTCAGGTGCATCATCCATGGATTTGTCCCGGAAGACCCGATCGAGTGCCAAAAAACCGCCCTGGCGCCACACGAGGTAGCTCGCTGGGATCAGCAAGACCAGATTCCGGACCACCTGACACCAGCCGACAGTCGCGTCACAGATCAGATTCATATCCCCGAAGCACGAGCAATCCGCGCTGATCGAGTCATCCATGATCACATGAATCAACGCCGCGATGAACCCCGCGAGCATGAGCCAGACCGCCGCAGCCGCCGCTCGAGTCCAAAGACCAAGCACCAAGAGCACGCCAGCGATCATCTCCGCCCAAGGCATCATGTGCGCCGCCATGATGATCAGATGCCCGTATTGATCCGCATCGACCACCTGGAATCCCTTGATCGCATACGCGAAGGACTGGATCCCGTTGAGCTTGTTGTACGCCGCGAAGATGAACAATCCACCCAACCCCACACGGAGCGGAGTCTGGAGTAGAACGGATTCGGCCCAGAGTTTGCCTTTACTCATGGCGACACCCCCTCATCAGCACCAGTCGCTGTGGGGAATCCCGCGTTGACCCAGTCCTCGTACCCCGCACCCATGATCCGCAGATCGGTATACCCGAACTGTTCAAGCATCGCCGCGGTGTTTTTGGACGCATCGCACTCACCACCGACACAGTACAGCACGATCGTGCCGTCCTTCGGGATTGAATCCATCACCGCAAACGCTGCGGCACTGTCGGTATCGAACAACTGTGCTGGGAGCCAAGCCGCGTATTGAATATGACCCGTTTCAAACTCGTAATCGTGACGAGCATCAATAAAGTACGCACCCTCTTCCCAGAGTATGTGCGACTCGCGCAGAGTCAGTGTTCCCTCCGGAACCGGAGCATCCAGATCAAACCCATTGCCCGTGAACGAAACCGTGGATTGGGTTGGTGGACTCGACTCTGGTTGATCATCCTCAATCACAGCCGAAGATTGCTCATCAGGAGTGTTGACATCCTCCGGCATTTCTTCAGGGATGGTGTTCGCAGGTGCTCCCCGGTTGGGATCACCCTTCACCCCATCAACACCAGACTTAGTAGCCGCTTCCTTGAGCGTGACATTCCCGCTGACAAGCGAGTGCCCGGTACCCAAAAGAAAAGCGCCGCCGACGATCGCGAGCAGACGCTGTGGAGTCTTCATACGCATGCAGTTGCCCCGTGAGTGTGTGTGGAGAATTCAGGACAGTACAGGAGCCGCGCTTAAGGCAGTTTCGGCTGGAGCTGCCCGTACATCTGCACAGTCAGCATCTCTTCATCAGGAACATCAGTCATCACTGTGAGCTGAGCGTTGAAACGCTGAGCAGGATTGATAACTGTGCCCTTAGCGCGGATGATCCATTCGTTGCGCTTCTCAGCATCAACCGGCTCCGCGGTGTATTCCGCATCGAGCACGATGTTGTTGGAGGCAACCGAGGTAATCTCAAAGGCTGCCCCGCTCTTGGATTTCAGAGTGACTTCGCGTTCAAACTCATCACCAACAACCAAGCGACCCATGGTCATCCGGACCGGAGTAAGCTGGAGGTCACCAATCACGCGACCAACCGCCGCGATCGAGAAGATCGGCTTGTGCTCGTCGTTGGTCCGAACAGAAAGCTCAGTCCGATGGTTGTCCGGCTTCGCGCTCTCAAGCACCTTCACGCGGAGAATTTGAAGCCAGAGCTCATCGCCGTCCTTCTCAACCTTTCCGCCGTCGATGACCTCAACGGAGAAGGTGTCCGGATCTTGAGTGGTAGCGCGAGTGACCTTGAAGTCCTCGAAACGACCATAGATCTTGATGTCCTTGGTCGAGCTCGAACCCTTCTGAGTCAGATCGAACGCAAGCACGCGAGGCTCAATGATCACCGCGTTCTTCACAAACGAGTGCACATACACAGTATGGACAGGCTTGCGAGCCGAGTTTGTGTAGATCGTGATGACGCGAGAGATCGCCCCTTTCTTTCCAGATGGATCGAAGGTGACCTTCATCGTGCCGGTCTCACCCGGAGCAAACGACTTCTGCTCCATCTCAGGAACCGTGCATCCGCAAGAAGGCTTGACAAGCTGGATCTCCAGTGGCTGCGTACCAGTGTTCTTGAACTCAAACTCAACAGGGACCGGCTCGATGTCCAGAATCGTTCCAGTACTCACCGTGGTCTCTTTAAAGAGCAAAACCGAATCCGCGAGCGGTCCGTCAGTCTGCGGCTCGTCACCCTGATTGACAGGGATGTTCTGCACATTGGTTGGTTGCACACCATGGTTGTGTCCGTGATGCTCACCAGCGCCGTGATTGTGCCCCTCGTGCCCAGTTTGAGCAGGCTCAACTTCCTTTGCCTTGTTCTCATTCTTCTCTGGAGCAGCACCAGCGACCTGAGCGATCGAGTTGCCCGCAAGAATCCCAAGCACAGAAATCGATGCAATCGAAAGTGTTCGTTTCACGCGTTTCATCTTCAGTATCCTCCCTGCGAGCGAGATTAAGTCCCACGCCCGCGGCATAGTTTCAAGATGCACAAGTCTAGGTCAAAATCACACACCATAAAACAAGCACACAACTCCAGAATCAGGCAAAGCAAGACCGCTCGCCAGACAGAGCCCAGATCGACCAATGCGCAAACACACACCAACCCGATCCAGCCCTACCCAACAAGAACGCCCCTTCCGACGGCATATTGCACCAAAACAGTCCGGAAATCGCCGAATTGAGCGATCAAACCCCGACTAGATCCCAACTCATGGACATCCCTGACCAAACAGCGTGAGATACGCTGAAATATCGAGGAAGTTGAGCGACCCGTCGCCATTGATATCAACACTCAGATCACCATCGCTATAGAGCACAATGAATCGGCTCACATCCATAAAGTTGAGCGCCCCGTCCTCAATAAGGTCCGGAGCACAAGGCAGCGCGCGGATCGTATAAGTCCGAGTCTCGCTCATAAACTGTTCACGCATCGCCTCGTCCCGCACCCAGTTGGTCTCGTCCACAACGACGACCTTGAGCTCGTGCTGACCACCGCCCAGATCAAGATCATCGGTATCCACCAATGTCGCGCCGAACAGATCGAGTTGGAACACATCATCAAGATACCAATAGATCGACAGATTGTGATTCAACGGCTGCATCGGAGTAACCCCAACCGTACCACCACGCGAGATCAACGCGCCGTCTCCAGTCCCCGAATCAATCGGAGACACCTCGCGATAGATCTCCTTGAGCAACTGCTCAGCGCTCACCAAGTTAAACGGGCGACCCAGCGCCCGCATCATCGAGTTGTTCGAAGGTCGATACACACCAAACTCGGAGTAGTTCCCACCCTCGAATGCACTAATCGGTCCATCAAATCCAGATTGATTCGCGTCCATCCAGTAGTGCCACTTGCGATCCTGATCGAGCTGCTCCTGACGATTGTAAATTGAAACATCCACAGGTCCCAGCTCTGGACCGTTGTATGTCGTCGGACCTCCATAGGTATACTCGTCTGCGAGATCACCAAGCGAGTGACCAAGCTCATGGATCGCGATATCCGCCGCCGCGCCGTTCTGACCCGCAGCAGTCCCGAGGTTGTTCGACGGATACCCTGCGCCGCCGTACTTGCTTGAGTTCGCGATCGCGATCACCTGATCGATGTCGTTCGCTGCAGCCGCCGCCGTGTACGCCTTGCCGACATTCACGCACAACAAGCGCTCGATCCCATTGCACCAATATTGCATGTCCAGCGCTGTGTCCCGGCTCACACCCTGATTCGGATCATTGTCGACGCCTGATTCATTGGACACGACTTCAACAGCCGTCACGCGGAAGTAGTTCTGGTAACTCGTGAACGGCTCATATTGGTAAAGAGAATCCACAATCCCGTTGACATCCGTATGGAACTGCGCCATTTCCCCGGCCGTGTACCCATCGCCGACAAAGACCAGATCGACGCGATTGTCAACGAGTCCTTGGTTCGCAACATTCATCGCATCGATGAACTCACGCACCTCATCATCCATCGGGACTTGGAAGATCCCGCCGTACAGATTGCCGTGCTCATCCCCAAAGCAGCCATGCACGCTGGTCATCCCGTCATTGGCGCCGATGTCCTTCGGACCCACATGCGCGATCGCGCTCCCAGTCGACAATGCAAGTACCAACGAAAGCGAAGCAGTCCGGCTCATAGCGAGATCTCCAGATATATCCAAGATGCGAGTCTTTGAGGTCATCCACACCAGACAACCCATCGGCACGAATATGCCCATTCATGCCCACTATTCGCCCAAAATCCAACTTGGTTCCTGCCCAGTCGGACCAATCACACCCAATTCCCAGCCTCGAAAGTGCCCCTTACGGACAACCCGCGGAGAACGCCTGCAAGAACGCGCTGACATCCAGGAAGTTGAAGTTCCCATCTGCGGCAAAGTCCGCAACCGGATCCATCACAGCCATCGCCGAAAGGAACGCGCTGACATCGAGGAAGTTCAGATCACCCTCGCCCGTCAGATCCGCCGCGCACTCAGCGCCGCTTGGAACAACCGCCGATCCGCTGACCGATTCGAGCTCGCCTGGGACAAACATCCCCAGCTCAACCGATCCCGTTGTCGGCGCATCGCTGCTCACGATCGAGAAGTTGTACATCGTCCCCCAGCGGATCGCGTTCGCGTCCATGTTCGCGAAGTAGTCCTCCGTCTGCCAGCTCGTGACCCCAGAGCCCAAACTCACCAACCAGTCCAGCGAGCTGATATTGCTGTCCGGCGCATCGAGGTACTCGACCCCATTGAAACCCGTCGAGATCGGATGACCGCCCTGCGTCGGGACGGCAAACGATCCGATCCCGCGCGCCGAGTTTTGATTGTGCACCGCGTACTCGTAGCGCCATGTCCCGTCCCCCAGATCGATCGCCTTGGATCCAACATGCACGATCCCGTCTCCCGGAATCTGGACCTCGCTGATCATCACCGATGGATCGGGAGCGTCCGCGCCCAGCCCGTGATCCGCCCACGCATAGATCGCGGCCCTCTGACTCTGCGTCGCGCCAACAAGCGCGAGATTCCCGTTCGCAAGCACCGTGAACTGCCGGTAGCTCGCGTTGTTGTTCCGTGCCGCGTCCGTGGTCTCCGCGACGGAGATGTACTGCTGCTCGACAAAGTACAGCGCGTCCTCTTCACTCAGTTCATCCACCGGCGCTTTGACGCGCTTGTAGATCGAGTTCCCCGACTGTCCAAATGTTGTAAACGGGAAAGGCAAGTCCGCCGAGTATGGATTGATCTCGCTCCGCGGCGCCAGATCACCCTGCGATCCGCTCAATCCACTCCCGATCGTGTCCGAGCACCCAACCCCCAGCGAACCGAATGCCGCAGGAGTGCAACCAAGCGCGCACGCGTTGTTCTGGAGCGGGAAGAACGTGTGCCCCACAAACCCAACCCCGATCTGCTCGATCCGCCCGTCCATGATCCGATACAGCGTCGAAGCAAACACCGGATGCTCGCTCGTCGCTGAGTTGTACACAATCGCATCGCCGCCGATATTACAAGTCACATCCCCAAAGCTGAACGCGCGATACCCATCCAGATCGTTGTAGCGCACAACGCTGTTGATCTCGCTGCAGATCAGATCAGCCCCCGCGCCCTCACCCGCGACCGCGTGCGCCGAGGAAAGAAGAAACAAACCTGAAACGAATCCAGAAACCAATCGAGTCTGTGAATGCAACATGCGAGTGTCCTCCTTATATGAGGACCATTCTAATGGAAACAGACCGCGCGTCCAAGCCAATCCCAGTTCATCCGCAAAAACAGGCGTTCCAAGCATGCAGAGGCGTTAATTGCTAAAGACCATATCTTGCTTGAGCTGCTGATCCGTGATCCGTCCTCGGCAATGGTGCCGCCGCCGACGCGTCCGCACGTCCCACGCCAGCCCGCATCCTGCGCAGACATGCATCCCATCAACCTCGTGCGCCTCATCACTGATCGTCTCCTCGCACGAGGGGCACACGCGATCATCAATGAAGTCCCGCACCAGCCGCTGCATGCGCGCAAAGCGGATCCCGTCCCGCGCCAGCTTGATCCCATATACCGCAATCGCAATGAACGCCGCGATCGCTACTACTGAAGCAACCCTGCCCCCCATCGTCTGCTGCATCGACACCATCAACCACCCCGCGCCGAAGATCCCGCCCCCCATCAGCACCAACAGCA